CTCGTCGACCCACCAACGCCCAGTTTTGTAGAACAAGGGGTGGTGATGACAAAATTCTATAAATCAAGGGAACTTCTATACTTTGTAATATATATGTAGAGTACTTGTCCGTGTGATGTTTTAATATTATGAATAAATACGCTGACCTATATGTACCAGACTGAATTCAAAGGTAGGCATGTGGGTGGTTGGCGGGTGCTCTGGTGTGGTTTGCTCCTTCTTTCCTATGAAAAATCTACCATCATCTCTATCTCCCCTCCTTTTTTTGTGTGTGCTTTTTACTCTCTTGTAACACCTCTACTCTTCGGCACTTGTATGGCCTTATAGTGTTGCAAGTGCCGTAAATCTCTTACTAAAACTAAAAGGTAGGCATCCCTTACAAACTACACATTGGGGTTCTAAATAGTCAGCGTCGTGTCTGCGTGGCATGTGGCATGGTATTTACTCTTAACGTAAACTTCAAATAGTCCTTCAAGCAGACTAGGTCCTTTAATTATTGGTCTTAACGTTTCTCAGCGTGCTTGACAGCAATTTGTTTGGGACCTAACGAGGGCCCCAGTCCTGTGTTTGCACTGATCTTTAGCGATGCTGTAATTGTCAGAAAACAGAAGGACTACGCTAGTATTACTAGTAAGATGAAGCTCAAATATTGAAATAGTGATCATCAACAGACTGACGTGCCCACGTGACCAAGATATGTATCGGTCGAGTAGGTTTGTGTTTTTTTTAACCTCCAGAATCTCCCTTGAATGTTCCCCCATAACCGAAAGCCGCTCTCCAATCCTGGTAATTGGTTTACTCAAAGAAAGAAAAAAAAAGCGGCTAGCGAGCTCAACACAGAACTAACTTATCTAACTGCTCCCTGACCAGCTCGCAAGCATATTAACATTTCAAAAAAAGGGGTGTTTTTTAGGAGGGGGGGGGGTAATCAGAATTTTTCACCCACCCCCCTCCTCTTTCTGTTTTACTACATACTCAATTGTTTGATTTGATCCATCGTGTCTATTAAAACATTTTTTGTCAAAAATGGTGGCAGTCATACTCTAATAACACATTTAATACAGCGCTATTTATATGTGAAACAAAAACAAAAAGCAAAAAGCAAAAACAAAAACAAACCGTGTGTGTGTGTGTGTGTGTGTGTGTGTGTGTGTGTGTGTGTGTGTGTGTGT